TCAGACCCGGCGGTGCCCACGATCGTGTCTTTATTGCCGCTGCGGGGGCGTGCAGGGACCACGCGGGACCCCCCCGACAGCGATGGGGAGGGGACGGGGTTGGGACCCCCCCCGACAGTGGGACTCCCCCCGGCTCGGGATCTGGAAGTCCCCGACCCTCCAGAGGGGAGTCCCGCACTGGCCCTGGGTCCCCTGGGGAGATCTGGAGAGATAGGGAGGATTTGGGGGATAGGGGGACTGAGAGGGGGAAAGACGGTCACCACGCGGAGTCGTCGTCGTACCTGCGGGGAAGAGCTGGTGTGAGAAAAGGGGAAATGAGACCCCCAAATCCCCTTGGGACTCCAAACAACCCCGGGACCCCCACCCTGGGGTGCGGGGGACGGTGCGCGGGGCTGTGGGGACAGGGACAGGGACACTCACCGTGACCTGTCACTGACGGCCCCCACGAGCAGCTCCGTCACCGCGACGTCCGGGCTGGAGCGTTTGCCATACCTGCGGGACACGGGACACTCGCGTGTGCAACGGGAACTCCACGGGGGTGTGCACGAGTATGCAAGGGAGGAACCGCCGGAGGCCCCGGGCGTGCACAAGGACGGGCACGGGCGTGAAAATGGGGATTCGCGCGTGAAAAGGGGCTCGCCCACTCACGTTTACTGTCACTCACGCTCACCTCTGCCGCGTGACCAGGTTGATGTAGTGGCGAAGTGCCGAGAAGTACCGGGCCATCTCCTCGGGGGACGCGTCGTCCCCGGGGCTCTCGGGCTTGGCGGGATACGCGGTCGCCAGCGCGACCAAGCACAGCAGGGCACAGAGCGACACGGCCACCAGTGCGCGCCACGGCCGCGGGGACAGCACCATCTGCGGGAACACGTGGGAGAGGGGGGGCTATGGTTGTGTGTGGGTCATCCCCATCGCCCTCGGCTACCCCTATCACCCCCGGGGACCCCCATCGTCCCCGGGGACCCCCATCACCCCTGGGTACCCCCAACACAGCTCTGTCCCCCACCAAACCCCCATCCCCCCGAGGTATCTCACCCCCAAGGACCCCAACTCTTGTGGGAATGTCACACCCACAGGATGCCCCCCTGTCCCCCAAGGGGATGTGTCCCTCTGCCACCTGGGATCCCAGTCCCACTCAAGAGACAGCTTCCCTCCAGGGTCGTGTGTCCCCCCCCCCCCCCCCCCCCCCCCCCCCCCCCCCCCCCCCCCCCCCCCCCCCCCCCCCCCCATGCCCCATGGGACACCTCTCTCCTAGAGATGCCCAGAGTGTCTCAGAAGGGGCTGTGCCACCCCAAAGGACCCCAGAGACCCACGTCCATCCTAAGGGACACCTCCCCACAAGGGATGCCACATGTCCCCAAGGGAGGGGAGTGATTCTCCCTCCCCGGGGTCCCGACCTCCCCTCAGGGACCCCAGTCCCATCCCCGCACTCACGATGGTGGAGGCGGAGGTGACAGGCAGGGCCTGGTAGTGGGGTGACAGCGCCAGGGACACAGCGGCTCCCAGACCTGCCTGGGGTTTTTATAGCCTTGGGGGGGGGCTCCTGGCTCCTCCCTCATGCATGACAGACCCACGGGCACTCAGGACCCCAGTGATCCCCCTGCCACCACTCCCGGCCAGGGGACATGTGCCAGCACCTTGTCACTGTCCCTTGGCAGAGCCCCCCAGCCTGGGACACCAAGGGGCTGGGGAGGACAGAGCATGAGGGGCATGAATGGGACACGGGGACACGAGTGCAGCTACAGGACATAGATGGGGAAATGCCAGACCGGCACAGGACATGGACACAGATGCGACATGTCACCAGGGCACACAGGTACAGGTGTGACATGGAGCCAGGGCACACACACAGGAGTGACAAGCAGCCATGGCACAAGGACACGAGACATGGACATAGATGTGAGATACAACCATGGTGCATGGACATGGCTGTGACATGCAGCCATGGCACATGGGCACAGAAGTGGCATGCAGCCATGGCACAAGGACACACATGTCACATGCAGCCATGGCACAGGTGTGACATACAACCTTGGCAAATGGGCATGGGACACGGCTGTGACATGTAGCCAGGGCTCATGAACATATCACAAGGACACAGAAGTGACAGACATCCATGGCATAGGGACACACGTGTGACATGCAGCCATGGCACATGGGCATGGGACATGGACACAGATGTTACACAGCCATGGCGCAGGACATGAACACAGAGGTGACATGCAAGTATGGCACATGAACAGAGTCATGACAGGTAGGCATGGCACATGAACACGGCACATGGACACAGATGTGACATACAGCCATGGTCCGTGGGCACAGAAGTGACACAGCCATGGCACAGGGACACATATATCACATACAGCCATGGCACACACACATGTCCACAAGACAGCCTCAGGATGTGACAGTGACACAGGGACATAAGCCACACCCAGGGACACAAACACGGTACAGCCACGACACAGCACATGGGACACAACCCACAGCCCTGGCTAAAGCCACCCAGGGGGGACAGTGCAGAGGACAGTCCCAGCCCAAAGCCATGGCTGTCTCAGTTTCCCCAGACGGGACACAAAGTCCCTGTCACAGCAGTCCCCGCCACCACAGCCACTGTCACTGCAGCCCTCGTCACCGCCATCGATCGCTGTCACTGCCCCCAGTACAGATGAGGTGCCCTTTCCAGCCCCCCGCACCAGGGACACTAATCCGGTATGGATTTGCCATTAAGGAGCAATGACCGGCTCCCAGGAAAACTGAGGCACGGAAGGATCTGTTGGGGACGTGCCCACCAGGCAGGGGCCACCAAAGCCACCCTGTGGGTGCTGGGATGGGGAGGGGTGGCAGAAAGGGGTCCCCAAAAAAGCCAGGATGGTTCCAGCCAGATGCAGACGCATCTCCGGCCAGTGGGATGGAAGGGACATGGATCGTGGGGACACTGCAGGGTGACACTGGTCCAGATAGAGGGGACATGGCTTGTGTGGACCACAGCTCGGTGGCGTGTCACTGCTTTGACTAGAGGTGACAAAGCTCCTGGGGACCCCGCAGGGTGCCACTGTCCAGCATGGTGGGGACATGGTTAAGCGAGGACCCCATGGGGTGCCACTAGCCCGGCTAGAGGGGACATGGCACACGGGACCCCGCAGGGTGCCAGTCCCGGCCTTAGGGGACATGCTCCCCACTCCTGCCCCAGCTGTCACCCCGGCGAGCAGAGGCGAGGACACGGCTGGTGGCAGTGCCACTGCAGGCATCCCAGCCCCAGAGGGGTCCCCAGCTCCATGGAGGGGGTCATCCCTGTGGCGTGGCCGCAGTGTGACACGCGCCGGTGTGCGGCGACATGGGAGGGGGGGCCATGCTGCCCCAACAAGGCGGTGCCGGGCTCACGACAGCCTGAGGTGAGGGATGGAGCTGAGCCCTCCCCAGCCCCTGCAGCCCCCCCAGCCAGGCACCTTTCACATTCCTGCAGTCGATGCAGGGATGATTGGATTGAGAGGGCTCTGGACCCACCTGCAGCGTCCTGACACGTGTGTGGGGAAACTGAGGCAGCGGGGCTGGATCTGCCCCCTCCCCAGTAGAGAGCCCCGAGTGGGGGTTTGTCCCATCCTGGAGTTCAGGACACACTCATACCCCCACAACCCCATCACAGCAGCCATATCACCGTATTGCATCACAGATGTCCTCGAGCCGTGGTCGTGACAGATATCGGGGTGTGTGGGGGAAGGTCAGGGAGGGGACGTGAGGGCTTTCTGCTCCATTTATCCTGACTGATAGTAAACAGCCATTTTCCAAAGGTCACAGGATGGCTCTGCCAGCAGTGTCGGTGGGTGGACACAGAGGTGGGGGGACTCCCTCAGCAAAAATGGGACCCTGAAGGGGACAAGGCAGGGGGCCCCCCCCAGTTCTCCACTGGGCATTGAAGAGGTTGAGGAGGGTCTGAGAGTGAAGGTGCGTGGATGGAGCCCCTGGGGGGGTGCCGGGAGGGTGAAGGAGCCCCCCCACCCCGAGCAAACAGGGCTCTGCCGCTTCCCCGCGCTTTATGGCCCCGGTTCCGCCGGAGGCGCATTAGTGGCCCCCCGGACCCGCACCCCCCTTGGAGGAAGCCCCTTATCAGCCTTGTTTGCTTTTCCGGATGTGGAGGGGGGGGTCAGACACCTGCCCAGCCCAGGGAGGGGACACACACCTGCCCAGCCAGGTGACAGTACAGGGGCAGTGAGGACAGAGCTCGCGGAGACCCTGGGGGGCTGCCAACGGGGACCTCCCACCCCTTGCCAGAACACCCATAACCCACCAGCTGAGCCCCCCGAGTGGGCACGGGCAGGACACTCGGTCCAGGACCCCCCTCGCCCCCCTGCCTCAGTTTCCCCACTGAAGGGAGGGGAATACCCAGTATCACCCACACTGGCTCCCCCCCCAAGCCCCTCAAAGTAGCTTCTTTCCCCTCTGAGCCCCTCAAAGCAGCTTCCCCTTCAAACCCCCAAAACATCTCTCCCCACAGCAGCTCCCCCCAAAAGTAGCTCCACCCCAAGTCCCCCAAAACACCTTCCCTGAAGACCCAAAAAAACAGCTTCCCTGAAGCGTCCCCTCCACCAAAGCCCCCGAAGTAGCTCCCCCAAAGCAGCTCACCCCACTCCAAGCCCCCCAAAAGCATCTCCCCATACTGCAGTCCCCCCTAAGGTCCCCAAAAGCATCTCCCCTTAGTTCAGTTTCCCCCAAAGCCCCCCAAAGCAGCTCCCCTCAAACCAGTTCCCCCCAAACCTCCCAAAAGTGGATTCCCCTGAATCAGCTCCCCCTGCAAGCCCCACAAGAGCATCTCCCCCCAAACCTCCAAAAATGGCTCTCCCTGAAGCAGTTCTCCCCAAAAGCATCCCCCTCCAAAAGCAGCTCCCCTTCCAAACCCTCCCAAAACAGTTCCCCCTTCAAACCCCCCAAAGCTGCAGCCCCTCCACCCTCTATCAAACAACAGCCAAGCTCCCCCTGGGACAGCAACATGGAAGACTTCTTGTTTCATCAGTAAAAATATTTTTTTTTTTTTGGGGGGGGGGGGGCAGTGACACCCCTCAGCGGGGAGAGGGGCTATGGCCACACAGTGGCTGGCACCCCCCAGGCAGGACCCCCCCACACCCTCTCAGGAGCCCCGACCTCCGCCAAAATTATCAAATACAGTATTTACAAACAAACAAGCAAAAAAAAGTCAATGAATAAATAGCGGCAATCCTTAAAAAAAAAAACCTCTCCCACCTTTTTCCCTGCCCCTTTCCCTCCCCTTCCCCATGGTGTTCCCACTCATCCATCGGTGGCGAGGATCACCACGGCCCCAAAAATGCCAACATTCTGGCCGATGAGCTTCATCTGGTTCCAGAACTCCACACGGCGGGCAGCATGCCAGTAGCCCAGGTTGCCATCGATGAGCAGGATGGCAAGGGGCAGCAGCACTGCCAGCACCTGGGCAGCCACCCGCACGTAGTATCCCGACAGGAATGCCAGGGCCAGCAGCCCGTAGAGCAGGAAGAGCAGCTGCAGGGTCAGCTCCCCCCCCAGCAGGTGGTCCAGGTAGGCCAGGCGATCCTCAGTGCTGTGCTGCAGGGAGTAGGCCTGGAGGGAGCAAAGCGGGGAAAGGGGTGGCACTGGGAACACTCACACAAGGGTGTACCCCAGGGTTACTGGGGGGTGGCACTGGTGCCAGTGGTGGCACTGGAAACTGGAGTGCAGTGGCACTGGTGCCAATGGTGGCACTGGTAGCACTCATTGGAGACTTCTCCCCCAGGGAAAATGGGAGAAATGGACTGTAGTGGCACTGGTGCCAGTGGTGGCACTGGTAGCACTCAATGGAGGCTTTCCCCCCAGGGACAATTAGGGGC